AGAGAGTTATTGTCGAGGATAAGTGAGATGAGGAAGTCACTAGCACAGCACATGCACAAAATCAGCACATCCTGGCTACTTTTATTATTCTCAGTAGCAGAAGTGGTGCTGGACTTCAGGCCTCTCAAGAGCGCAAGGGAAGGAGTTCAGGACCAGAATGGCTGAAGCTGTCTCTCAATGCACCCTGAAGAGAGGTTAGCTATTTTAATGGGACAAAGCGTGGACCCAGGGAGGATCCCTGAGTTCAGACAGCCCCCGCCTTCCACAGAGAAAGAGCTCTGAATTTCCAGCTGCCTGTCAGAGCATTGCTAGCCTGACATTTGGGATGGACCAACCTTGATCTTGACCTGGGCCCAGACAGTGGGGACTCTGACTGGTGCCTTGTTCCCCCGCCCTGACTGTACAGTCTGTCAGCAACAGGCTTCAAGAAGCAATGGCTCAGCACTGAATTTCCGAAGGACACAACCTGTGCTAGGATAGGGCTGGCAGGGCTGGACTGAGATGAAGCAGGAGAGGTTGAAAGTACTCAGGCTGGAAAGGTTCAGCACCAGGGGCAGAGGCAAGGGAAGCAGGGAACACCAGGTGGAAGGAGTCAGTCCTCTGCTTACCAGGATACATTCTGGACCAACACAGCGTTGCCCCAAAGCCATCGCTATCCCATCTCTACACTTGTCAAGGCCTCTGCCTACAGGGTTCTGAGCTGTCTCCCAGGCTCTTTCTCATCCGGGCTTTCCCCCCACAGTTCCTCTCTATATCCCATGACATCCTAACTTTCCAGCCTAGATGCGTAGGATTCTATCTATTCCTTTTCCCTACTTTTAAAGGGTAACAATTTAAGAAAATTTTAAAACTCGCAAATGTTTCCAGGTTTTATTTTTCACATTTATCCATAATGGAAATTAGACCGAGGCCAATAATCATTATCATAACCATTTTCTACCTTGTGCCAAGCATGGTGCTAAGTGCAGTTACTGTCCCCCTTACTTCTCTCAAGAATCCAAGCCTGGGCCCCAGGTATGGTGGCACGTGCCTGTATTCCCAGTACTCAGGAGGCTGAGGCAGAAAGATTGCCACAAATTTGAGGCCAGCCTGGGTTACACAGTGAGTTTAAGGCCAGCCTGCACTACATAACAAGACCTGTCTCAAAAAAACAAACAAAAAATCCAAGCTTAGCTGTGACTGAGGCAGGAAGATCACAAATTTGAACCCACCCTGGGCAACATAGCAAGATCTGATCTCAAATTTATTTATTTATTTATTTATTTATTTATTTAGTGATCTCAAATTTAAAGAAAGAAAAAAGGACTGGGGATGTAGTTCAGTGGTAGAGCATTTGCCTATCTTGTGCAAGACCCTGGGTTCAATCTGCAAAACTGCAAATAATAAACCAGTGAGGTAGACAATTTTAATTACCATTTTAGAGCTACAGAACTAAACTGAGAGGATAAACTTCTTGCTCAAAAGGACAGTGACATCACCATCATCTCCTCAGTAACTTTTTTTTTGCAGTACCGGGGATCAAACGTGGAACCTTGTGCTTGTTGCTAGGCAGGCACTTAAGCCACTAAGCCATCTCCCCAACATTTCCTCAATAACTTAAACTTCAACAACCTCCCTGGCTTGCCACTGTTCCTGCTGTAGACTGTCTACCAGCACCCAGAGCCACTGTGCTGAAACAGGAACCCTGTCACTCCTCCACACAGGCCCCCAAAAGCTTTTGTGGCACTTGGTGTGAAGTCTTGTGTTAGGCTCTGCCCACTCCTCTACTCCTCTACTCATCTCTTGCTCCCTACCATGCTCCACCACAAGGCCCTCCTGTCCTCCATCCTTCTAAACTTAGCCCTGCCTTGTGTCCCTCTCTGCCATTCTTCCCTCCCTCAGTCTTCGTCATCATTCAAGGCTCAGCCCCAATGTTCCCCCAAAAGGCTTCCCTGGTGGCCCTAACTAGCAAGCCCAGTGATTACTTTATTCGCTTAACAGAGCTCATTGTTCCAAATCATGAGCATTTCTCTTTCCTATTATGTCAACCTCACTGGATGGACCTAAAGTTCCCCGAAGACACAGATACTGACTTCGCACCATTTAGGGCACTGGGGGGAACCAAAGAAGAGCCCAAGAAGTATTCAAAAAGACACAAAGAGGGTGGGGAGGAAAGGAGCCAAGATTCAAACTCAAGTCAGTCTCGCAGCTCAGTACCCTGAGTACCTAAAGTATCCTGCAGTCCTGATTGGTATGTGTAAGGAAATAGGGGGTGTCTTAAAA